AACCTACTAGCGATGACCTCCAACTTTGCTTTTGCTGTCACTTTGTGTCTATGGTCCACCGCCTACTAGAGATGGCCTCCAACCTTAGGTCTTGGCCCCCAACAGCTTTGCGTTGACCTCCAACCCAAAACCGATGGCCTTTAACCTACTATTTCCTGACACCTCAGGCCTTTTTCCCAAAAGCATTGCGAAGGGTTCTTCCGGAAAATCCCTTGAACACTGACACTTCGACACTTACACTTACACACTGACACTGCCACCACATTCGCACTACATACACTGACACTTCGACACTTACACTTACACATACACACTGACACTCTACATACACTGACACTTCGACACTTACACTTACACATACACACTGACACTTCCACCACAGTGTAAGGGGAAGAGCGAAAGCATCCAAGTGCAAAGTATGCAAGTGTCAAAGTATGCAAGTGTAAGTATGCAAGTGATGGGTATGCAAGCACGCAGTGTAAGTATGCAAGTGATGGATGCGCAAGCATGCATTGAGCATGCAAGCATGCAATGAGTAGGCAAGTGTGAGTATGGAAAACTAGCACGGGAGATGCCCTAATGAAAAACATTTCCCCACTTTATAAATTCTCTCTTAAAGGCGGAGGGCGGGACGAACAGCATCAACCGAAAGTGCAACCCTCTGCGGAGATCGTGCGCGTCGAGTGCGCGAAATGCAGGCGAGAGTGCGATTTGTCCGGTCCGCGCGCAACCCTCTGCGGAGATCGTGCGTGTCGAGTGCGCGAAATGCAGGCGAGAGTGCGATTTGTCCGGTCCGCGCGCAACCCTCTGCGGAGATCGTGCGTGTCGAGTGCGCAAAATGCAGCGAGAGTACGATTTGTCCGGTCCGCGCGCAACCCTCTGCGGAGATCGCGCGTGTCGAGCGCGCGTCGAGCGCGCGAAACGCAGGCGAGAGTGCGATTTGTCCGGTCCGCGCGCAACCCTCTGCGGAGAGGTTTTTCTGTCGACCTGCGCTTGGGCTTTTTGCCTCACTTCCGTTTAAGAACCCCAGGATCCTTTGGGCTTTCTCTGCAGACTTGCACTTGAGCTCTGATCGAACCAAGGCACTCATTTCTGCGGTTTTCAAAGAAAGGATGCTAACGAGACCCACCGGGTTGGACCGCATTCGGCGTCGGGTTTGAATTTCGGGACACTGTTGCGCACAGGCCCACTCATGAAGTCTGAGCCCTCCACGGGGAGGGCCATGTGTGTGTAACCCGCACTTACATGCGGTTGACGAGCTTCTTTAAATCTTATCGACTTTTGAGAGCAAGGGGATTGACTACGTCAGCGCGTTGCACTCTTTGCACGGATCTCAAGCTCAGTGTCCTAACTAAAACAGATAGTTTTACTTTTGTTTATGTCTCTCATGACTCACTCTTGCACTTGAGCTTTCGGCCTCACTTCCGCTTCAGACCCCCAGGATCGTTTGGGTTTCTGCAGACTTGCGCTTGAGCTTTTGGCCTCACTTCCGTTTAAGACCCCCAGGATCCTTTGGGTTTCTCGGCAGACTTGCACTTGAGCTCCGATCGAACCAAGGCACACATGTCTGAGGCTTTCAAACTAAGGTTGCTAACGAGACCCACCGGCTTGGACCGTATTCGGCGTCGGCCTGTTGGAATTTCGGGACACTACAATCACAGATGCATAGGCCCACTCATGAAGTCTGAGCCCTCCACGGGGAGGGCCATGCGTGTGTGTAACCCGCTCTTACACGCGGTTGACGAGTTTCTTTAAATTGTAACGACTTTTGAGAGTAGGGGGACTGCCTGGCTTGTAACAGTGGCAGTCCAACGAAGAGGCTGTTACAAGTCACTGATATGGATTCTGGACGCAGAATCCACGTACCTGCTTGACTTTTAACATTTGCCGAGATGTATAGTTCAGGGCTAGTTGCTTTCCGCAGGCACGTCGTAAAGGGCTAATGCATTACTCGATGGCGTCGCCAACTTTGCTCGGTTCTTCGGGCGCTCAAGGACACACTCTTAGGAGGTTCTGGGCTTTGTCGTCATCCTAACGCTCCAACTTCAAGACTCATTCCCCAGTCTGTGTCATTCTTGGAGTCACAGGGATACTGTAGGATTGTGTTCATTTCTTGTTTTTAAGTAGGGGAGTGCGGCGTGGTTGTGGGACCGCACTCAACGAAGCCACCTTAATCATGGGATACCGAGTCTGATCAACTCGGCGTACCTGCAGTTTTACCAGAGCAACTTCCTCATGGACCCTGCTTGTAACTAGAACAAGAATTCCAGCCATTGCACCTGTTTGCATCGGCAGTCACGCACTTGATCTTGACTTTGAGCTTGCAGTTTGAACTTGGAGGTGAGGGCAGTCATTTGATGTTTTGTTTACCTGGACCCTTAGGTGTTTCACTTAGGATACTTAGGCTGGCGCGGGGCAAACCGCAACCAAATCAGCTCGCATTTCTATAAGTGTGTGGACGTCCAAGGCCCAAACGGAATTCTATATCAGCTCAATCAAGTTCCAATGCTCTCCAAGCTTCAAAAGTTCAAAATGGAACGACAAAAATGTCAAACGTCGAACGGCCAATGCACGTCTGCCAAAGTGAGGAATCGATGCAAAGGCCAATGATCTTGTTCTAGTGACAAGCAAGGACCAATAGCACAGGACCCACAGGCTGCGTTTAGATGCCCAGGTGCGGTCAAGAGCAGGTACCTTTGCACAAGAACTGCATGCGTGTCTTCGTTGGCTCTTGTCCGAAGGCCCCTTGCTAAACTCATAACTCCAGGGTGTACGCGCACACACTCTTATATGAATTGCGCGCACTATGGTGTGGCAAATACGGTCCATGGGGCTGATGGTGCACATGTTGCATGTTCGACAGCAAAGCTGCCTGGGTTGTAGAGCCCTTCTGATCAGGCAGGGATAGCCTCTTGTTTGCGTCAAGTCTCTGTCTCTGTGGTCTCTCGTGTGTAGGGTGAGTGCGCCCTCCGTTCTTTTGGTTTCTCGTTTTGTCCCAAAGACTCTGATTCGCGCGCGGGGTCGAGATTGAGATTTTTTCTACCCAGCGGGTGGGCCCCGCTTGGGTCTGACTTCTGCCCATTAAGCTCCCTGCGCGGCACGCTCCTGGAACTGGGCGTTTGCCAAAAGAGGCACGCGACGGGAAAACGTTTTGCAGCACGTTCTTTGGAGCTTGATGTTGGTCCACTTCCGGAACACTTGGCTCGAAGAAGTCCAAATCAAGAGCCAAAGCGTGGCAAGATGAAACTTGATCGTTTTTACAGACTTTTCCCGAGAGCGCCTGAGCGAAGGGCTCTTCTTAAAGACAAGAGCAAAAACATAGGGATCATCATCATCATCATCATCATGGGTCATGATCATACTGTTGATGGACGAAATCCTGCACCTGTGGTGGCCCCAATGTTAACGAGGGAGAACGAGGGCAGCAAGAAAACTGCCCGCAAAGTGGTGCAGCATTTTGTTCATCAACAGTATGTCATTATCATCGTCATCACCGTCATCATCATCATCATCTGCATATCTTCACTTCTGCAAATCCCTCTTCTTCACAGCTGCACATCTTCACATCTTCGTATCTCTCTCTCTCTCTCCCTCCCTCTCTCTGTCTCTCTCTTTCTTTCCTCTCTCTCCTTCTCTCTTCTCTCTTCGGCGCCACAAAACGCAACGCTCTCGCATTCATGCGTGTTAAGGTGTCCAAGTATAACTCAGGAATTTGGCGTTTTCAATTTGTAATTCGCAAGTGCGTGCCAAGTCTCAAAAACTGCAGGAATATGGCGACTTCAATTGATAACTTGCAACCGTTTCGCGCGAACTGCATGCATGCCAAGTGGGGAATATGGCGATTTCAATTTGTAACCCGCAGCCTTTTTGCACGAAATGCGTGTCAAATGTCAAAATCTGAGAGAATATTGCGAGTTCAAGGTGTGAACAGTGAAACCTCTTTCGGAGATCGCGCGTGGGGAATAGTGCGAGTTCGAGGTGTCCACGCTGAACCTAGATCGCGCGTGTCGAGTGTTGAAAAGTGTGGCGGATGTCGTCACAAAGTGGAACTGTCGTCGAAAACGACAGTGGAGGCCCAAAGTGTAACTGCCGTAGCCGTCGTCGAAAACGAAGGTGGACATCGTCCAAATGTGTAACTGTCGTCGGAAACGAAGGTGGAGGTGAGCAAAGTGTGTATATTGTCGAAAATGGAAGTGGAGGTTGCAAAAGTGTGTAAGTGGCCGTCGAAATGGCCACTTTGTAGTACAAATGTAGGGCTGTACAAAAAGCAGCTTCGGGGAGCTGGCTAGTGAAGTAGTCTGTGGTACACCGAATGGCCAAATGTTGTTTGTGACGTCGCTGTGCCATGATTCAGGGCAAGAAAACAACAACATGTTTGTGTAAATTCCGCATGCCGCTGGGCAGCGGAATGATTGGCGGCCGCTACGACCCTTAATGTTACATAGTCTGTTGCATACCGTATACGGCCAAAAAATACGTCTGCGATGTCGCTGTGCCATGCAGTTTTGTGCGGACTCGGTGGAAAATGCCTTTCCGTGAGTCTGCGCCCATGGAAAGAAAACATGCTTGTGTAAATGCAGCGTGTCGCGGGGGAGTGGAATGATTGGCCGTGCCAACGAGGCTTGGTGTTACATGGTTGGGGATTAATTACATCTGTGATGTTGCTGCACATGCAGATTTACGCGGCCTTGGTGGAAAGTACGCTTGCATCAGCCCGTGCCACGAGGGAACGGGAAACATGCGGGACAACAAACATGGACTTTAAGACCTCTTCACAGGACCCGAATCCACACATTTTACAGTGAAACTGCGCATAAACCTGTGTCAAGATCGATTGTAAAACGTTTTCAGGAGGACTTGAATCTGCACATTAAACTGTAAATATGGACGTAAATACCGACTGTTAGATTTATTCGGGACAGGACCTGTGTGCGCACCAATTTGTTAACCCTTGACATATAAACCTGTATAGACATTGGAAATCGTCTTCGGGGCAGGACGGCATGACCTGAATCCACACAATTTTGCTGGAACTGCACCTCTCTGCTTTTTGTTCATCCCATCCTTTTCTGCTCCTCTCTTTCACTTTCTCTTTTACCCTCTCCCACCTCTCTTTGCTTTACAGTTTCATCATCATGCAAGCACGCCTTACGCCAGAGTAACTTTACGCCTAAAAGCTCTACCTAAAAGCTCTCGGGCCATCCGTCGTCTAGAATGAAAAATGAATGTTCAAAGTTCAACAACGTGCTGACGAGTCTTCCTCCAGCTGACGCCTCAGCCCATCCTCCAAGTCAAAATCCACGCCACGAGTGGCCTTGGTGGCTTTCACTGAGAAAAATGCGACCGACTCCACGTGCGACATTAGTAACAAGAAGCTAGTAGTAACAAGTGCCACGCTAGTAGTAACAGGATGCTCAGAAATCCGCGTTGACTCCCTTGTGCGCACAATCGCCAGCATGAGGGCCTTTTGGACCACGGCAGCGAGTGCAGCATGTTGTAAAAGACCCGAAAGATCTTCTTCCTCAGCACACCCACAGCGAAGAAAGGGTAATTCTTCACTCCGATTGTCTGCTGCGCAGTCTGCACCGAAATCTTCACAAAAGCAGCATAGTGGCTTGCTATGTCCGCATTGCCTGAGCCACAGACCACATCCTTGCTCACACAATGGGCCACTTGTGTGGCTCGGTCTATTCTTGGTGCTACAGTCCTGCGAAAGCGACAGCTTCTTTGGTTGAGTTCTTCTAGTGGAACAGCTTTGCTCTTGGCTTCAGGAGCATTGAGGATTCTCTTCGAGAATGTCACACATCTCCTTGGAATGAGGGCCCTCGTTACCCTGGCAGGACCTTCGCCAAAATAATCACTTCTGGACAGTTGGATCAATCTGCTGCGAGCGCACCGACAGCATGTAGTGCGCCCAGGAAAGGCTGTCCAACCTTGACAATGCAGCAGTTTTGAAAGTCAGCAAGTGGGTCGTGATTGTCAGGAGGTGATCTTCAAGGGTCTTACTCACCTGGTACGAAGTAAGGCATCAACCACATCCATGCTGGCACTCTGGTCCAGTTGGCCGCAAACTCAGCTTTACAGCTACAACTGCCACATTGCCTGAATAAAAAGGCTCCATTAATCATGAAAACGCATCTTTGAGACGAGAAGCTCTGGAGCAGGAGCAGGGCAGGTTGCCATTTGCTGAACACAGTTTCGAAGGCATGCGTCAAGGCTGTCTGGCATATGACTATGTCAATGTGGATTTTGCACGGTACGGTGCTATGGTCAATGGGCACAATAATCAATCCGCACTTGCGTGCTAAGAGTTGAAATAAACAAACAGCAAGAAAGGAAAACCCACTGCCGCCTCAGTAGATGCAAATTGTCCACACCCCAGATATGAAGGGCGACAAACCCCACGACCCCAAATATCCTCAATACATAAGAGGTTGTACCACAGGATCCGGATGTAGAGGCACACAGCATTGCACACAAGCTTGGAAATAGAAAGCATGGTGTTGTTAGAGTCTTACAACAAAGCATATGGCATATGTAGTGTTCTCTGATGTGTTTCTTCTAAATATGACTTTACCTCAGTCATTGCTTGAGGTGGGAACCAATCCTGGCACGCATGTGAGTGTGAAAAAGCAACTTCAATGAATCACACAAGACCATATAAAGCAAACCTCTCAAAAAGCCAGTCTTGTCTGGATGCCGGCTCAAAGGCTGTGAGAACTAAGTCACGGTACCTTCAGCATTGTAAGCAACGGAGCGGCTGATGGGAGGTTGAGCGGCTTACTGTATGAGTAAGGAGTGGACTTCATGTTCAGAGGGGCATCTTCTGAAGGTCTTCGACGAGCATCTGCACATAGGAAGAACCTTACTAGAAGAAGCAATCAAAAAGAGAATCCAGCAGATTGTTTGTGTTGCTTGGGTGCTCACTGGAGCAGCCCACGAAGCACCTTTTCATCCTGAACTTCAAAAGCAGCACACCAAGTGACCAAGTGCACAAATAGCACCAATCTCACGCACTCTCCTCGGTGAGCTCCATCACTGGACCTACCAAGACCACATGCAAGAAGAATGCTAAAATGTTTGGTTCTGGAATTGTTTCTCTTGCCAAGCCTTCAAAACCTGCTCACAATCCGCTTTGATGGTACAGCATGGAATGTTCTTATATACGTGCTTATTAGATACTCTTGGTGGTGTCTGGATGGTCTGCCAGGCCCTGTGAGTGTTCATAGACATGTTCCCAGTTTCTTGTTCGGCAAGCTGCTCCTAGCGTCCAGTTGTCTAAATCAGCTGGCTGTAATAATTGTCCCTGCGGCAAGCATCACTTCAATTTGAATTAATAGTGGTGACCAACTATATAGCGCTTCGCTTATCTGTGAGTCTAGTCTATGGCCGATATTGTGGCAATGACAACTGACTTAATGTAACTATCCTATAACGGTGGTGCGCATCGCATCCGCTGTCAATCTGGCACGCTCTAAGCTTGAAGTCACCCAAGTCAATCTCAATGAAAAGGCTGCATTGTCAATTGCACAACTGTATTAGTAGTGTCATAAGGCACTTGTGCAACATCCTCCAAACCAGTCTCGCAATCCACCCGCATTTACCGTGCCCACTGCTGAGACTATTTTGGTGAAACGTGTTTCCTTTCAGGAGAAGGCATTTATATAAGCACAACTGCCAGAACGTTTGCATTTATTAGACTTCTACACAGGTCGCAGAAACTTGCTCCGTTCCATCAGCTTCAGCCTCAGCCTTTCTTGGCCTTGCCACAAAAACGAGCAGTGGAATGCATCTGAAGAACTGCTGTCAGCGAAGCACTTCCACACCTCTCTCGTTACATATCGCCCTACTGAACTGAGCAGCCAAGAGGCAATGCGCTCCATAAACTGCTGCTCTCTCTGGGCCAATTTGGCCTGCTCGCCAAGACTGCCATGTTCAAAGGCCAAATGCAAAGGGAATCAGCCTCGAGTCTCGCTTCAGTCATACGAAGCTTCTCCTCAATTCGGCATGAACTCACCGCATGCCCACACACATGACCATGCATCATGCCGGCTAATCTGATGAGAGAACACGCCTCCACAATCCGCTGGATCTCTTCTGATGGGTCCTCAAAAGTTTGTCAAGCACAACAGAATCACAATGTACTTCAGTTAAGCACCACCGCGGTGAATGACCTACAGGAATGGAACACACGCATTTGAGCTATGGCATCTATGATTTATTGGCTGTGTCCGTTGGTGCTGACACCATACGAAGAACGAACACAAGGCAACAACCTGCAAGCGAAAGGATAGGCGTGTGAGTTCCATGAAAATTCGAGGATTCGTTGGCAATGATCTCCCCCCGTGCGATCCATTACATCTCCAAATTTCAACACATCTCACTGTATGTGAATGCAATCCCAGGAACAACCAACAACCTCCCCTGGCCTCACCAGCACCTCCGGCTGTTTTCTCCTGAAGAAAATGCCGACAAAAACTTCTCATGCAAAGCAAAGAACCTGATTGATTCATTACAAAAACCGGGCCTCGGTGCTGATCCCTGTCCCGTCATCTTGATTTTCTGGAGTCTGCTGCGGTCTGCGTATTTAGGGCATGGCAAAGAACAGTCAAATACAATCTGAAACCTGAAGAACAGTGCAGAAGAAGAGCCTTCTGCTTGGTTTCTGTCTCGCGTTGGCCAAGGCGGGAGGCAGTATGGGCCTGCAAAACCAACTTTGCCGGACCACCAATCTAAAACCAAAGAAAAACAAAAGAGACGCACAAAGGTGCAACGGCCGCCTTTCCACCTCAACGCTGAATCGCAGTGTTTCCACATCCCTCTCTGATCGAGCACAGAATTGGTAGAGCAGAAAGTGCCTCCGCAACACTCTACGGGCCTTTCGTGAAAGTGTCAAGAAAAGCTCCAATTGAAAGTCAAAGAACTCTCCGTAATAAATTCTGCGAAAATGCCGGCTGCCATATAGGAGGGTATCGAGCTGAGGATGACACTTGAACAATGTTCCAGAGGTGTAATCAGTCAAACGCCGGGCCTTTCAGAGAAGGAAAATGGAACCTTTCAGAAAACTCTTCTGAATGTGTTTTGTCCTCCTGGACTCCAAAGATCGGCAAACCTTGGTGAAAAAACTCGCCACCCAGAAACCAATTGTCAACCGACCAACATAAAAATGGCCAGTGGGAGACCCTCAATAACAACGATGAGCATCCTGGTGAGTCAATGAGTTTCAGTGTGCGTGTCTGGGATTTTGCTTATGACATTGCAATCTTTATGACCACAATGAGCCAGAACACAGTTGTCTCAGGTTTGAGGCGCCAAAATTGATCTGTGCCACTTTTGAAGTTGGGATTTCACAGAAGGGCTCAAGGGGCAAGAAGAACACTACCAAAGGCCGGAAGTGGCCAGCCACATCTTGCTTCTCTTGCAGATGCAAATTAAACTATGAAATCTGGTGGCCAACTCCGGCTCCAGATCACGTTAGCCAGCGGCCCGCATGCAGCGGGCACCTTAGGGACTGCCAGTAGTTTAGAGCCCTGGGCGTAGTAGTGCCAGTGTACCTCCCAGCAAACTAAGTAGGTAAGGTCTGTGGAAGGATATAAGTTGTGGTGATAGGAATTATCCCTGATCAACGAATACCTGAACAAAGCGGTTTATGAAGCATCATCATCGAGGATACTCCAAGCTGTGGAGGTTGTCCTTATCCCTTGCAAAATTGATGATCACTAAAGTCCCGCCATCCTGGAGAGCATGCAATGGTATGTCGTATCTTGGTTGAGTTTGACACCACCGCAAAGCAGACCGCGGGGAGGTTGATCACCTCCGGTGACAAATTGTTTTGGTTGTGAGTTCAGGATGTGTTTCTGCTGCCATGAACACCGGAAGTACCGCCAGAAAGTGGAGATGCTTGGGCGCTTGGCCGGGACTTAGCGCAGACTGGGAGATAAATGTAAAGGATTGAAAGGCAAAGGTTGGCAGCCCGAGGCGGACATAGGAGCCCAGCCGAGGCGGATACACTTAAAAGCATTGAGAACCCAACAGCAAACTGTTTGGGGAATAATCAAATTCAAGCGCCCCAAAGTCACCCCGAAATCCGAACAAGGCGCAGCCAAGTGCATCACCAACAACACGCGACCAGAACAACTACACATTCTTGAGCAACCTAGCTAACAATCAATGGTTTCCTCGAACGTTGCCTGTTGCCCTGTCGTTGCCCCCTCAGTTTCTACATTTGTTGACCATTTACATGAGCGTTTGTCACACCAGTTTTTGAACTTTCCGTGAATCCCCGTACAGCGAACTGCCTTCTCAAACATTCTCTGGCTATGCACAAACTGCTAAAATGCTTCGGACTTTCGCAATGCATAGGTCGGAGTTTCGGAGTTGCAGTTTCAACCCTCCCCATTTTTTTTCAGTCTTCAGTTTGGAATGTAGTCATGTAGTCCACAGCGCTTTCAAGCTGTCAGGATTCTTTTGAACCATGCCAGTCGACCCATTAGCCATTAGCCCTTTAGTGCTGAACTGATGGAACGGCTGGCGCTATGTACGCTGCGGGAACCCAAACCCAAACCTGAAACTGTGGCAATATTGTTTTACTTAATTGTCCTTTTGTGTTTCTTTCCAGAAAGATCGGAAAGGTCAAAGGCAGGAGCCTAGCGCTACTACCCTTCCACAACATCCAAATATCAAAAATAAATGTCCAAGCCCGGAAAAACCAAGCTCAAAATGATTGGACAATTGAACGGTGGAATGCAATTAGAGGAGATTGCAGCCGTAAAACATCACGGACTCGAGAATGATTCGTTCCGTCTGAATGCCACATGCCCAGAAGAAACCTTGTTCAAAAAAGGGGCCTGAGTAAAACATGCAACGAGGTCCGACCATCCTGAAGTTCCAAGTGAAAATCAAAGTTGAGGTCTCAACATTTCCAAAACATGCAACGACGCGGAACGATCGACGAACACGTGTCTGCAGAATGCAAAACAGATGCAAAGGGCCCAGAAGGAAGTAAAGAGTCAAATATCATCTCAGCAGGTACACCGGAGTGATCAAGTCCAGCTTCCATCATTACGCATAGCTTCGTTGGCACGTGTTTGCGTAATGACTGCATGCCCCGGGCTGTAAAGGTAAAAGGCCAAAAGGCACCTTCTGAACCCAAAGTTACACACACACACACACATGTGGCAGGTACGTCGACCCAGCGATCAGGTTGATATCAGAGTACGAATGGAGCGTCTTTCCATTTTGTCGCTTGTACAATACCAGTGGACCAACCTACACTGTTGGTTCGCCAACTAGGATGAAGAGTAGTGTGGTGTCGCTCTTGGCTTTTTGTCAAATGAATTTTAGGAGTCTGCAGAGATTGCAAACGCGTGCCGTGAACAAAGAAGTGTTGCACGATAGCTGCAGCACTTGCGCAACACCTCCAAAGGGTGCCAGCTCATGAACAGTTTATGAGCTCAGGCCGCCACGGCTTGGGGGATCGTTCACAGAGTGGATCAGCAAAAGTCGTTGAAACTCATTGAAGCACCTCATTTTGTGTATGAGCAATCATGCCATGTACACGGAGAAAAAACTGAGATTGCAAACTCTGATGCACTTGCACCCTGGCAACAGGATGCAAGAGGTCTCAACAGGAAATGCGAGTCTCAATTAGGACTCCTTGAAGAGTTTCAAGAGTCGTGAGCCTGTGAAGCTCCATCTGCCCACCCTGCCATTTTATCCTTGGCAAGAGGCAGGGTCCAAGCATTTCAAGAGTTGATAAAAGCGCAGCCACGGCGCGAGGATGGCTGCCATGATTGCATGGAATACTGCCCCTTGCCTGTCAGCAACAACCAGTTGGTTTAGCAGTCCAAACATTCTGCATGTGATTCAGCCTCTGTGTTAAGCACTGCATTTTGGAATGGCTGAGGTTGAACAGGTGAAAGTCGCAAATGATCTCCCTGGTCGTGCACACATTGCAGAAAAGAAATAAGAAACAACGAAGACAAAATCCATTCAGCTGCCTTCGAGCAACTGGAGGATGGGCCGCTTCTAAGCCTGTTCATGCAAAGAGTAAAGAAGAGGTGACAGTTGCAGCCGCGGCGCTCTGTCTGCATATTGTTGAAAGTTTGTAAAGAAACTGTGGACCAAAACAATGGCTCTCCACTGGGATGATCCTTTAGCTCAGCTTAATGCTGATTCATATGTCAACTCTGGGCCGATTTGAATAAGTGTGGCTCCAGCAAGCGACGAGTCCAACCAGCTCAGCCTACAACTCCATAAACGTTTGTATACATTTTGCGGGAAACAGTTCCCGTAAAGACCAACAAAGTAAAATGCATCTTTTGCCAGGAGTGTGGGACCCTGCAGCAGGCCCCAAAAGATTGTGGATAAATACTGCAGCTAACCATGCAAAAATTGATTCACCTTTCGATGGAAATTCGGAAACGAATTCGTCAAAATTCATACAATTTCTGACCTTTGGAGGTGGGTTATAGATTTACTGTATCAAAAATTAGAAGCGCTCAATCTCGGAAACGTTTCGGAACTTTGTTTTGAGGTGTTCACCCGTGACCGGGCATCTCGGACTCGGAACCCCCAAAAACTGGTCTGCACTTGGATATATATATATGGATATGTATCTGCATCTTCGAAGGGAACAGTTTTGTGTAATACAAAATGTGCATATACAGTCTCAGTTGCCAAAAAACATTTCCAATGCACACAGCTTCTGGGACCCTGGCACCGAAGCAAGTGAATCCCTTCTATCACAAAAGTGCCCAAAACAATGCGTGGGTGTCACGGTCTTGGTCACGGCTGGTCGTGACCGAAAAGGTGACCCTGCACAATGGGTCCGACATGATCCGACTGGAACCCTGGAACAGTTCCACCACATAACTACTGGAAATGTATAGTAGTTCTGAAACTTGTTGCGCTAAGGAACCCCTTTCCCGGATACTTCTGAATGACTGGGTGGCTGATCGGCATTTTGGTCCACCGCTGCCGCTGTTGCCTCGTCTTCCCACCTGTTTCCTTACATGTCCCCTCGTGTGCTCCGCATTTTGTTTGCCGCTGCAGCCTTGTGTCTCCTTACTTGTCTTCTCATCTCCCCATTTGAAGCCTCTATGCTCAAAGGGGGCCTCCTGCCAGTGCCAGAGGGGCCGGCTCAGTCGCGCTTTGTCTTTTGCGCCAAGCCTCCTTGGATCTTTTTGCGTCACCCTCACTTGATTTGGTTGAACACTCGCGCCGGACTTCTCTTACGACTGGTTTGGGGCGTTTGCAATCTCGGATGCTACCCGTTAGGTCACCTCATTTTAACCGAAAAGCATCTTCCTAGTCACAACACAACAAAAAAAATGAAGAAGCCGCCAATACAAAATGACATTATAAAACTAAAACTTTGCGCTTAGCCACTGTGGCAACGAGGATTGTTCGCACCACCGCACAGAAGAGGGCAGTACACTTTTCAGCCTCTGACCGGGCGGCTGGGCGCTGCAGTACCCAACCGCTCAGCCGGGCGCTCCGTTCCTCTTGAGCAGATGGTGGGGGCGAGCAGCTTGCGCCTGAAGGATGGCCTGACCAGCTGCTGATGCGCCCACGGCGCTGTGTCTCTCTCCTGGCATCTAAATGAAAATCTGTCAAGCCAGACCAGCAGGCAGGTTCGTGGGGGTTCGTGGGTGGACCATAGACTTTGAACTCCTGATTGCTTCTCCCACGACGATCACCTATCTGTCTGCCACGTGTGTCAACCCTGAAGTTAAGTGAAGACTGAGAGCCTGGGGTCCCAGATTTTTGCCAGCCGCAGCACTTCGCTTTGATCAGAAATGACCGGGCCTTCACCTGGATGAAGATCCATTGAGCAGCAAGTCCGGCGTGAGATTGCCATTAAAAGGAATTTTGAAGATGGGGAGTTGCATCAAACTGATGAGCATTCAATGACTTATATGGCTGCAACTCTGGTAGAACTGAATTGTCCAGCGGGGCACTGTGCCCCTGGAAGATGTGACCAGCCCTCCTGGACCTAGCTTGGTGACATAATCTGAAAGTTCTCCAACTCTTGTGCAAAGTTGAAGAAAACATCGGCCACAGAACCAGGTGAGCCGCTAGAGCACACATCAACTTGCGATACAAGGTTTGAGGGACCTTGGATGGGCGTCTCACCAAGAGCGCTTCGTTGGGGAAGCTCCTCAACCTCCGTGCCGAAATTGAGCACCATAATGACTAAGTGAAGAGTTTGCTTTAAATGAACTCTTCGTTGGCAACGGAGAGAAGTGGGAGGCGGCGTCCTATTGAGTACTTGACACTCAGAAATCGGAATAGGGAATAAAGGCGACTTCGAAGTAGCACCATTTCGGCGCGTGCGCAGAATACTCAGCTAGACGACGGTGGGCCCGAGAGCGAGAAAGGCGACTGTCAAGCAATTCCGAGTAAGGAAATAGTTAAAATCGAGTTGTCCAGGAGCCATGACTTCTTTATACAATCTGTTATTGAGTAAGAAGTTGCGAAGAAGTTAGCTTCAAAATATTGAGAGAAAAGATATGTAGAAAGACAGAAAGAGAGGAGTGACAGTGTGGATGCGCAGGTGTGATAAAGATGCGCAGATGTGCGGGTGTGTGGACGTAAAGAGGTAGATCTGCGGATGTGAGCGTGCGACGATGTAAATGTACAGAGGTGAGGGTGTGTAGATGCGCAGATGCAAAGGTAGCGCGACGCTGGCAGACTCGGTTTCCTGCGATTGAAGCACCCCCTGCGTAGCAACTGGTACATTGGATTTGCCACCCCCAGGTTTGCGCCCAGTGGTAGCCAGACGCACATCCGCAGGGCGACGAAAGCAGACAGCCTGCGGACATCGCCTCATCAAGAGCGTGAGCAGTTCAGCCTTACTCTTCACATTGGCCAGCAACTGCAACCGACCCCCGTCCACCAACACCCGATCCAGTTCTCCTGTGTGATCAGCCAAGGTCACAGTAGCCAAAATGGGCGATTCTACTTCGTGGATGGTTTGGCAGCCCTGCTGCGCGTGGCGCCTGCAATGTCCAGTGACCGGGCCAACCTTTGTCCCGCAGTTCTTGCACGGAACGTGCGTTGGATCCCCCAGAATGCCCGCGACCCACACACTAGAAGCAATCCTGTCACACGATACCACCAATCATCCCGCTCACCAGCGACCTGCCGCGTTTGCACCAGCATGCTTCGCGCTCCCCAGTGGCACGGCGCCACGCAAACGCACTTCCCACCAAGGCCGCGCAAATCCGCATCGCACTGCGACATCACGGACGTAATTTCGCCACACGGTCTGCCCACACACTACAAGCAATCACACCACACGATACCGCCAATCATCCCGCTCACCAGCGACACGCCGCGTTTACACCAGCATGTTTCGCGCTCCCAGTGGCCCAGCGCCACGCAAACGCACTTTCCACCAAGGCCGCGCAAATCCGCATGACTGCGACATCACAAACGTAATTTTGCCACACGGTCTGCCGCCACAAGCTATCATCTCACGATGCCGCCAATCATCCCGCTCACCAGCGACGCGCCGCGTTTACACCAGCATGTTTCGCGCTCTCCAGTGGCGCGGCGCCACACAAACGTACCTCTCATCAAGGCCGCGTACATCCGCATGGCACTGCGACATGCACGAACGTAATTTCGCCACACGGTCTGCCCACACACTACAAGCAATCATACCACACGATACCGCCAATCATCCCGCTCACCATCGACACGCCGCGTTTACACCAGCATGTTTCGCGCTCCCGCGCCACGCAAACACACTTTCCACCAAGGCCGCGCAAGTCCGCAAGGCACTGCGACATCACGGACGTAATTCGCCACACGGTCTGCCCACACACTAGAAGTAATCCTATCACAGGATACCGCCAATCATCCCGCTCACCAGCGACACGCCGGGTTTACACCAGCATGTTTCGCGCTCCCCAGTGGCACGGCGCCACGCAAACGCACTTTCCACCAAGGCCGCGCAAATCCGCATGGCCCTGCGACATCACGGACGTAATTTCGCCACACGGTCTGCCCACACAAGCAATCATATCACACGATACCGCCAATCATCCCGCTCACCAGCGACACGCCGCGTTTACCCCAGCATGTTTCGCGCTCCCCAGTGGCACGGCACCACGCGAAGGCACCTCCCATCAAGTCTGAGCCCGGCTCCGAAAAGCTCTCTCCCGCACTACATTTGCTCCACAAACTGGCCAGGTCTGACAGGTTCCTCCAAAAGCGCAGCGCCAAGTCTCCAAAACCAGCGTTTCGTACGAGACTTCCTCGCCCTTGACACGCACGATCTCCGCAGAGGGTTGCCCGCGACAAATCCAGAACGCACTCTCACCTGCATTTCGCGCCCTCGACACGCACGATCTCTGCAGAGGCTTGTGTTTCGTGGCGCTCAGGCGGCACCGCCCCCGGCCTTAAGAGAGAAAGAAAAGAAGAGCGACAGGATACGCAGATGTGAGATGCGCAGATGTGAAGATGAGCAGAGATGTAGGTAGATGTGCAAATTTAGATGCGCAGATGCGAAGATGTGAAGATGAGCAGAGATGTAGATGTGAAAATGTAGATGCGCAGATGCGAAGATGCGAAGATGAGCAGACATGTAGATGCGCAGATGTGAAGATGAGCAGAGATGTAGATGTGCAGATGTGAAGATGTGAAGATGTAGATGAGACGTAGTTCTACAGATGCTGTTTTACGAAAAACCCTTCGCAGGCGCTCTCGATAAAAGTCTGAAATCCGGCTCTGCCCGAGTTTGAGGAGCAAGCAAGGTTCTGCTGCGTCTGAGCCCGTCCAAGCTCAGCTGGTTGGGAAGGCGATCAACTGCAGACCTCTAAAAGAGGGCCTCCCACAGAACCAAATAGCTTCCCTGGCCTGGTAGCTGAGGATTTGGGAACATCTTCGGCAGGAGCGCCGCCAGTGTCGCCTTTCTGCTACAACGCTTCTTGCCTTGAAGCTAAGAGCAGCATCTGAGCTGCCATTTGTTCCATCAGAGCTGCATTCGTGGCTCTCTTTGCAGGAGTTGCCGGCTTCTTCACAACTGGAGCCTTCTTCGCTGCATTCCCCGCGTGCCCTCGAGCCGAATAAAGGGCAGCCGCTTCATCACTTCTGTAAGTATCCAGGTCTTCTACAGTCAACAAAGCTGCACAGGCGACTTGTACCAAGGCGGGGCTTCATCTTCCTCGAAGAACGGCACTTGACAAATGGCGCACATTCAAAGCTAAGCCAGAGAAAGCTCCATGTGCCCCCCCCGTCACCAATTCAACCTCCAACCTTCGTCAATCACCCTGAAAGGAATGGTCGCAAGTCTCGACGAGCCAAAGGGGGTAGAGCAAACAACCCAGTCACTGATTCCACCATGGGTGGTGTCAGGGTAAGGACCATCAGTGAGAAATCCCCGCCGGCGCACACTTCATCCTAAGCCTCATACGAAGCACAAAACGCCTGGATCTCTGTATTGTCTGCAGCTGGCCGAGGTCCGTCCTCAAAGATAAGGTGAAACCCGAGCTCAACTTTGAAGGGCTGTTCGCCCTCAGGTTCAACAAGTTCCCAACCAGCAATTGAAATCACAGGCGAACTGGTAGTGCTAGATGGCACTGATGTAGTGGCTCGCTCAAAAGCAAATGACAAGCGTCTTAGGGCTGAAATCAACTGACTGATATCACCCTGCGTCACTGGCAAGCTCATTCACCTCCTACCTCATTCTTCTTTCCAGCAAAAAAGAGACAGTAGGTGCCAAGCCAAATTCGAGGCGGAAGTGCCAAAAGAAGAAGTGGAAAGCAATGAAACCACCAAAAGCGATGGCTGAGAGAAGGCCCAATGCAAAGCCAGCAGCAAGGCAGGGAAGACACGAGTGAGAACAGTGAAAGGGGCTGGAAATGGACTGGAGAGGTCCCGCTGCACACGCAAAAATATGCCGTTGAGAGGAAATGCACCTGCGTGAAGCTTTAAGGGGTCAGTTGCTTGCAGCCTGTCTGGCTTTGACCTGAGTAGTTTGCTGCAAAATCGCAAATGCAGGGGGGCAATGTTCGGAAGGTTTTGCCCATGAGAAAAGGCAAGCTTGAGCTTCAAGTTTCTGCTCTCATGCTGGGACAGGTTTACTGCGAACTTGTAGTGCAGGTAATGGGACATACTGAACAGCCTTGCCGGTTGGAGCAAAGCATGGCCCTCTGCCTCGTTGAAACTGTAGATATTTGATGATTCCCCAAGCAACTGCATCTTCCACTGCCAGAGATGGTGCATTCCGGATCATGAGTCTAGACTCTAGACCAAAAGTTGTTGGACCGCCCTGCATTATCGTCCTTCTTTCGGAGTCTGTAGGAGCTTGGAACTTCCAACCTACGAACCCTTATTACTTTCAGCCCACACAGAAAGCCTGCCTGCCAAAATGCAAAGCCACACATTTGGCACCCTTGGCGTATTCAAAACCTTCCAGAACTCTTGTATAGACTTGCTGACAACCTTGGAGAGCCTCAACTGATTGTAGGTTTGCGACCGATGCGAAGGCAAAGCGTCCACCACGGCTAAGACCCTAATCAGTGCTGTTGAGAACTATATATTTTATGGCAGCATCAAGCAGCTCAGCGCTATGAAAGCATTCGAGTCAAGGCTTCTGGATCCACAGAAAAAATAAATAGAAAAACAAGAGAGCTCCGAAACAGCAGGCCTAGTAGCTCCGTCAGCAGCTTTGACTGAGCAGCACAATCCAAAGACCATACACGACCCACATCCTCAAAGCGAAGACAAGTTGATAACTGCGAAAGTAAAGTGGTTTTGTCTGAGTCAAAATTGCATCTGCCGAGGTCATGACATTGGGGGTTAAAGGCAGTTTCAGGCCGGTTTCAAGCTCAGTCTCATCACCCTGCATAAGCAAAAAAAAGTCAATAAAGAAGTGAATGGATCCACCCAACATGTGTTGGTTCCTCGACAAGCTCTGGTTCTTCAGGCTCCACAGGTTCCTGGTGCCATCTGTGCCATCAGTGTAATGTCCGCAGGTTCGCTCGAACCCTACAAAAGGAAGCTCTGCCTCAACGGGCACCTTTTTCGGCGCCATTTGCACGGAAAAGGCATCTCGTTGAGCCAAAATTCACAGAAGAAGAGATAACTTTGAAGAGGACTCCAAGATAGAAGACTTTGACAAAGAGCCAAACCGTTTGTGGCACACTTCGCTTGCATACATCAAGTCACTGCATCTTCCCTTACAGTACCCAGAAAGGCTAGCCAGCCATTGTGCACAAGAATCTGAGATTTTGGTTCTGAGCTCATCGATCTCATCATTTGGAAGGCAAAGATCTTCTAAACTCGCGCAGCTTTGACACAATGGATTCCTGGGGCAACATGCTGGGACAGGATTGACACAGTTTTGCGGGCTGCTTCATTGTCCATCCCAAACATGGATTCAAGGTCCAAGTCGCTGTCGCTGCCAAGTCCACGGCCAGTGTTTGAACATTTCCTTCATACACCACACAACGCCCGTCGATCCACACATGGCTGACCTTCACCGTTCAGTGCAGCAAGATGTTGAGACGACACTGTACTGTATCAAGCCGGACACTTAGGTCTTGGAGGCAAGAATGGCACATTGATACTATTTTGGGTATCCTTCTGGACTATTCTTGTCCTGCTTGTGCATTGTGCACACAGAAAGCAAAAATCGCTGCAACTGCAGGTGAACAAAGAATAGGTATGTTCCACCAACGATGCATTGTCAGAAGGGACAGTACACACAACCACATCGTCCCGATGCTGCGGTTCTGATCTCTTGCTGAGTTTCTTGTTGTTCTTTCATTGTCTTTCAAGTCCTTGTCCCTTCATTTGATTCCTTTCAATATCTGCTCGCAATCGTTTCGGTATACATGTCATTTTTCGTTCTATCCACCGCACTGTCTGTTGATTCCTTGTCAATTCACTTGATTGCCATTAATTCTTGTGTTTCCTCGATTGCGGGCAAGCCCTTATCCTTGTGTGTGTGTGTCTTGGTTGTACGTTTTGCTTGGCTTCACATTATTTCAGTGTTCCATTATTATACATATTGTTATATAAATTGTTTTGAACTTGGCCTTGAAGCCGGCAAAATGGAAGAACCCCAAAAGCACCATCCTGCAAGAGGTGTATGAGACATCCTGGCATCCTTGACAACAGCCAAAGACCTGTTTCTTGTGCTTTTTGTTTCAACAATTTCAACATGTTGCGAGGTCTGTCCCACAGCTATGCAGGCAGGGTGGCTTGGCAGGATTTCCTAGAGGCTTCATCTGTGAATGCCAAAGTGTTCACCTTCGATCAACAAAGTGGAAAATAGAGGTTACAGTTTATTATGGATGGCATAATTAGCATCACCCAGCAGTCTTTTGCAAAAAGATTTACATTGCAAGTGTTGCTGCAGCGGTATTGATCTGTCGAAGTGTTGAGGATGCTGACACCATTTGGTTCCTGGTGTGGTTTTGCTAGAACGTCACCTCCTTGCCAAACATCTGCATGACAGTCAAATGTGCCTATTGTGTACTTGGCGTGGCAGAGCTCTTCTGTTGCTTCCTTAAATTGTGTCTCCTCCAAATGTACCGGTCTACGGCAACAAAAAGGCCTCACCTGCCGGCTGTTCGTGTAGACGAGCTGGCCCAAGGGGTCAAAGACTGGCGATGCCTGGAGAGCTATCCCGAAGAAGTTACTGCACTGAACCACAGAAACGCATAAGCAATTGCTCAAGACCCGGAACAGTAGCCTCAATGCATCCAAGGTCAACAGCCACCATATCAGCAGCTTTCCCAACCTCAATTGTCACCCCATACACGAACAACGAACACCCAAAGAAAAGTGAAAGCATACCATACCAAGCCTTACCAAAAGTTTGGAAGAATGATGGATTCTCAAACAACTTTTTGAGTTTCAACCCTTTGCTACTAATCACTCAGGATTTAAAGTCCGTAGTGCCACGCCAACAGGACATTCCTGCGCTTGAATGCAAATACGGTCTTCTGCTATAGGATGGCGAAAGCTTCACTCCAGACTCCAAACCCCTCTTTTTCAGCTCTTGTAGAATGTTTGCAGACGGAAATCTTGACAGGGAACAATCAAGGAGGGAATGACTCCGATACAAAAAGCACGCCAGCATACCAAAGCTAAACCAAGGGGCACCAGCACCCTGGCTCCAAGGTGCACACGGCTACAAACGCCTCGCAGCAACACGCTGGAGCAGCAGGCGCCAGCACCAAAGCTCCAAAGCACGCACGATGGTAGACATCTGACAGAGGCTCCCTGCAGCGGTACCAGCACCCAGCAATAGCTCTCGCTATCTGGGGAAAAGCACTGAAGAGCGAGAAAACTAGAACGGCCTGGCCGGAGAAGCCCGACACTAAAGAAGGGCATCCTCTTCACAAGAAGAGAAGCTACAGTGTAAGGCTTTGCATTGAAGGCAAGCGCCCAACAATAAGCAACTCACCTAAGATAGGGATTAGACCTACAGCAAGAAAAGTTGGTAAGAGCGAGAGACAAAGACACTCAGCAAGCAAGTTGAGTTCAGTCAGTGAAGCAAAGACTCGGCGCTGAGGGGCTGCAGCCAAACCACAAAATAGCAAAGGAAGGCCCAATAGAGGAATTGGTTTTTAGTGTCTTGCTTTCTGGCGGTGTCGTCTAAAAAATACTGAAGTGCTTGGCACACATGATCAAAGCCACCTCAAGCCTCGGGCATTTAACTATCCTGGTCCTTGAAGGAAAAGAATTACACCGGCATAGAGCCCAGACAGCGGGTGGGCATGACACGATGTCATCCCTGGCATGACATGATGTCATCCACGAAAGGAAATTACGCATACCAGAAAGGAATACATGCACCCCGATCCAGCACCGGCACCAGCACCAGCCCACCAGCACACCCACACAAAACGCCAATCCAGCAGCAGCAGCAGCAGCAGCAGCAGCAACACCCGCAGCAGCAACACCCACAGCAGCACCCGCACCAGCACCACCACCAGCACCTGCACCAGCACGCCCAAACAAAACGCCGGTCCAGCACCAGCACCAGCACGGGTAAAACGAAACGCCGGTCCAAGCTTCTAAAAAGTACACCAGCATAGACCCAGATAGCTAGGCAGAATCCCACGACCTGTTGACATGCGACTGGCTGGAACAAGATGCACGCAGCCTGCACAGCCAGCTTACGGCACCTCCACAGCGGCACCCAGCACCAGCTGGCGCTGGTGCCGGGTGGTGCTGTGAGCTGGCTGTGCACGTGTGGAGACAGGTTGCTGGTGCTATAGTGCTGGGCGCCGGTGCTGGGTGCTGGTGCTGGTGCTGTGGGCTGGCTGTGCACGTGGTGGAGACAGGTTGCTGGTGCCGGTGCTGGTTCTGGGTGCCGGGCGCCGGTGCTGGATGGAGCTGGCTGTGCGCGTGGTGGAGACAGGTTGCTGGTGCTGGTGGTGTGAGCTGGCTGTGCCGGGTGGCGGTGCCGGTGCTGCGCGTGGTGGAGACATGTTGCTGGTGCTGGGTGCTGGGCGCCGGTGCTGGTGCTGTGAGCTGGCTGTTCACGTGGTGGAGACAGGTTGCTGGTGCCGGTCAGCCAGGTCACAGCACCAGCACCGGCGCCCAGCACCAGCACCAGCAACCGCCAGCACCAGCACCGGCGCCCGGCACCGAGCACCAGCACGGCATCAGCAACTTGTCTCCACCACGTGCACAGCCAGCTCACAGCACCTGCAACGGCTCACAGCACCCGGCACCCAGCACCAGCACCGGCACCCCACCACGCGCACAGCCAGCTCACAGCACCAGCACCAGCACGGGGCACCTGCACCAGCACCAGCACGCGCACAGCCAGCTCACACCGGGCACCAGCGCACAGCCTGCTCACAGCACCATGACCAGCACCGGCACCCAGCACCGGCACGAGCAACCTGTCTCCATCACGCGCACAGCTCACAGCACCAGCACCGCTCACAGCACCCGCACCAGCACCGGTAGCCGGCACCAGCACCAGCAACCTGTCTCCACCACCACCAACCTGTCTTCAGCCAGCTCACAGCACCATGACCAGCACCGGCGCCCAGCACCAGCGCCGGCACCCGGACCAGCAACCTGTCTCCATCACGTGCACAGCCAGCTAGCTCACAGCACCAGCACCAGAACCCGGCACCCAGCACCAGCACCACCAACCTGTCTCCACACGCGCAAGCTCACAGCACCAGCACCAGCAACCTGTCTCGAAAGCGCGCACGGGCAACTCATTGTCATTTGAAGTAAGAACCCCATAGCTTCGCTATCTGGTGCAAAACTTGAGAAACACAAGAAATTACACCAGCGTAGACCCAGATAGCTAGGCAGAATCCCACGACCTGTTGACATGCGACTGGCTGGAGCAAGAATGTACGCAGCCTGCACAGCCAGCTTATGGCACCTCCCCGTCTTAAACGCGCGCTCAGCCAGCTCACAGCACCGGCACCCAGGACCACAACACCAGCACCAGCACCGACACCCTTTCGAAAGCGCAGCCAGCTCATTCTTATTTGCAGCAAGAACCCCATAGCTATCCCTATTTGGGTATGATCTTGTGCGTGTATGTTTATGCACACAGAAGTGTGCGTGCAAACAGCAAAGCCCGTAAGTGTCATTGGCCCAAGGCCAAGCAGTATCCAGCACCACTATTGACTTTGTAGCATGCTTGAAGCAACGATCTGCAGGCGTATGACCTTGCGCGTAAAAGTTTATGCGCACAAAAGTATGCGCACAAACGGCAAAGCCCGTAGGCTTCACTCGCCCAAGGCCAAGCAGTACCCAGCACGACTATTGTGTGTGTAGCACGCTGAAACATGCTGGAACAATGACGTTGCGCATAAAACATTATTAAAAGTATGCGCGCAAACGGTACAGCCCTTGACAGCTGCCGGCCAAAACAGAAACTGAAGAGTGTAAATACCACACAGCGCTAATAGACAAAGAACGCTCAAGCGACAACACCGTATGATGTCGCGCGCATAAGTTCATGCGGCCCATGACTGCTGGCACTTCATTGTCAGAAGCGGCGCTTGGTCGCCCTTCACTGCTGCAAGCGGCGGTTTGTTACCCTTCACTGTCAGAAGCGGCGGTTGTTATCACTTCACTGTCAGAAGCGGGCACCAGCACCGGCGCCCGGCACCAGCACCAGCAACCTGTCTCCACCACTTGCACAGCCAGCTCACAGCACCAGCACCGGCAACCGGCGCCGGCGCCAGCAACCTGTCCCCACCACGTGCAGCACCAGCACCGGCACCCGGCACCCAGCACCAGCAACCCCAACAGCGGAAGCTTGGGGTCTCAGCCAAACTTGGCACTGGGCACTTTGGGGCAGTCATCCTGCGAGTTTCCCTGAGGTTCCGAAGTTCCGAGTGAAGGTTCCGAGGTTCCAAGTGAGGGTTCCGAGGTTCAAGTGGAGGTTCCGAAGGTTCCAAGTGAGGGTTCCGAGGTTCCAAGTAAAGGTTCCGAGGCTCCGAAGGTTCCGACGTTAAGGTTCCGTGTCAAGCGTCTAGAAAGTTCCAAGTAAAGGCTCCAAGTGAAGGTTCTGAAGGTTCCGATCGCGAGGTTCCAAGCAAATGTTTCGTGTCAAGTGCCCAAACAGTTCCAAGTAAAGGTTCCGAATGAAGGTTCCGAAGGTTCCTAGTGAGGGTTCCGAGGTTCCAAGTATAAAGGTTCCAACTGAAGGTTCCGAAGGTTCCAAGTGAGGGTTCCGAGGTTGCAAGTAAAGGTTCCGAGTGAAGGTTCCGAAGGTTCCGAGGTTAAGGTTCCGTGTCAAGTGTCTAGAAAGTTCCAAGTAAAGGTCCAAGTGAAGGTTCTGAAGGTTCCGAGGTTCCAAGCGAAGGTTCCGTGTCAAGTGCCCAAAGAGTTCCATGTAAAGGTTCCAAGTAAAGGTTCCGAGTGAAGGTTCCGAAGGTTCCAAGTGAGGGTTCCGAGGTTGCAAGTA